GGGGAGACGACATGGCGATCACCGTATTGAATCGCGGCCAGGCCATGAATCGTTATCGCCTCGTTATTGCTACATTGTTCATCTACACTCTGGCTACTGTTACAGCTAGACAAAGTAAGTACTCCAAACTATCTGCAATTCAAAATGTTTATGGATTACGTTAGAAGACTGCTGCTACCACTAACTTCCTTCCCTAGAGTGTACTGAATTTAAAACAAACTCGTTGTTCACCCCAATGTTTCAGTGGGCTACAAATATGCTTCTGATCAACAGATGTTAGTAAGATCGAAAAATCAGGTGTCGTTATGAAGTGGTTGAGTTAGGTGCCTTCAGGATTGACTTTTGGATTTCCTTCCCATTCTTCGTCCACACCCCTTCTCATTATCGCCCAGTTGAGCTTGAAAAGAAGACTTTCATGTAGCATGTGATTCTTGCTTTCGACCTTGTAAGAAATAGTTTCGATATGGGAAAAATGGTAGTCCCGTCTGAGGCCGAAGTTTTGTCCATAACTCGCCAATCTTGTGAAAAAATGGGACGCCGCTCAAAAAATCCCAATTAGACATAGCGAACGTTTCAGACTTCGTAAGAATCCTTGTATGATCGTTTTTGCAGATCACTTTGGCGATCCATGTTATCTTTGCCGATGTTTTGTGGAATACACGGATCGAGATGTAGCCATTCCTATACGGCCGTATGCTATGGCAGCAGACGGTTATGACACTACTGAAGATCGATGTTTGGCCACTTGTCGAAGAGATGAGGTATTACTGTACATATTACGGTATAGCTTGCATTTTATTTTAGTCGTCTTCATAATTCAAAATTTGCGATGTCACCTAATTTCGGCTTTTATCTATTCTCAAATTTTCTTGTCTCGAATGAGCTGAATGAGAAAGATAATGGAAAGGAATAGACAAAGATGAAAAAGAACTTGGAAAAAAGGCTTCATGATTGTCATTCGACTAAGATTCTGGCCCTTTTCTTCAAAAGGATTACTAGCCATTCGATAGCAATATGTTCCTTTTTTTCAGCTTATAAAACACCTTTAAAAATCTCCAAAAAGTGTTTTCATGGTGCATCTTATCATTAAATAATCAAACAAATGAACGGCTGTGCCGAGGGTAAAGCTAGAGAGAAGCTGAGGGCTAAAAAAGTAGTTCTATGAAAACAAGTAAATAGAATTACCTTGAACTAATAGGTTGAATCAATTGGACTAATGAGGGATTCATACGAGTTTGTAGATATATTGAGTTTTTCTGAATAGAATATCTTTCTTTTTTGAACAATATTCATGCATTTTACTTGAGGCAAACAAATGGCGAAAAAGTAGGAGAGGAAAAGAAACATGAAAAAAGAGAAAATTTCGAAAAGACTCGGCTGCTGAAGGCTCTCCTTAAGAAAATTAATAGGGTCTTCAGAAATGTTCCAGGCCTCTGTGTTTTTGAAAAGTAATCTCATCGAGTTTCCTCATTGTACTGAATCTATTTTGAACAATGTTACAAGTTACCTTCAGAATTTAGTCGTGAAAACCATGGAAGTTAGCTAGTCAATTTTATTTTGGAATTTTCTAGAGGTGCCGTGTGGCAGTGTATGGAATGATAGGAGGTCGAAAAGTGTTCACCTGCGAATTTTACGAGAAGATCGACTCAAGAAATTCGCCAAAATACTCGCCATTCGTCAACATCTACATAAAGAAAAGCTCATGTCCATTTAAAGGTAAACTTTCAGCTCACAAACATTGCGTAAGGAACTGTAGTCACCACTTCATTCCTTCTTCCGTCACTATTTGATAGAATCATAGAAAAAAAGAGCATTATGTTAGAGATCCCTAACTGGGGACCACCCACCAGGAAAATCTTAAACTGTATCCGGCATTAATACGTCATCTCAGTTATCAAAAAGAAAAACGCTAAACAAGGATAGGAGAAACGAATTAAATCTTCCATAAGGTCCAGCTTCAAAAAATACGGTCGAAGGAAAGGTCCTTATAAAGTCTATGGTTATAAAATTCTTATGACACTCAAAACCGATGAACGGTTCCCCCCTTCAAAGATCCGCTAGGCAGAGAAAAGACAATAGCAAAAAAGAAAAAAAGATTCTCTATGGTCATAGCTCCCTGAACGGGATTCCTATTGATTTGATTGAGAGGTTAAAGTCACCAAGCACAAACCATTGTCCAATCAAGGAAGAAATATGTTGTAGATAAGTGAAACAGCTTGAGAAAATCATGAGTCATTAGGTCCAGCTGTTCTACGTTACCTCTCACTTTTTCGGTGGAATCAGTGGAGAATTAAAGTGGATTTAAATTTTCTAATACTCACCTATTCAGACGATATCTTTGAATCAGTAAAGATGATTCCTGCTGACAACTCATCACTGAAGAGGCGGCTGAAACATGAGAAATTGGCTCAACGACCGAATCCACACGAGGGCTGAACGTTCATATGATCTCTGTTCATAGCATATTAATAACGATAATAATTCAATAAATTGTAGAGAAAGTTTAGATTGAATTAAATGAGTGGAAAATTGTAGCCATGGTGTGCTGGTGTCACGTGCGTCAAAGTTCGGCACACGCAATCCTTTGACGTTCATCCGAAATCCGGTATCATTAAAACGCCTGATTGACCTTTTCAGTTGGTTCGGTAACCAAATAGGAGTTTTACCGTGCACTTTTTACTGATAGTCTGTACTAAATTGAATATAAATTGTGAAAAAGTTTGGAACTTGCTTACAGGCAAGACAAAGTGGGGAACCCGCTGGACGTGAGAACGACCAGAGATTCTTCAAGCTCTTTGTTCTGTGACAGCAAGTTCTACGGGCCTATTGCATGCACAATGCTTCAGTGATCCGAAGCAACGTCCGGAATTTTTGGAAGTCGGCGAAAGTTGTTTCAATTGCGATTAGCAGAGAAAAATTAACTCAAAATGCAATTCAGAGTTTGCAAACTTTGAGGTCAGAAGCGTCCCACAATCGTGTAGTTCAAATCCAGTGAAACCACACTCCATCGAATCAGTTTTCACTAGCTGCTAGCTAGCTCACTATGCTGCTTAAGAGATCAACTCCTGGATGTGACACTGAGGTGCGCGGAAACTGAGATAACGAACGCTACTATACAAGTGGGTAAGGAATGCCCTCAAAAGGGCTTTTACAGAGCTGAATGATGCAGGGCCGCATTACGTTGGGATCACGGAAGCGAGCACAAAAGACCTTGAAGAAAAATTTTAAAGCAAGAAACGACAAAAAATGAGGAAGTGAGAAGGAGCTCACAACCAAAATATAAACTCATAGCAGGATGTCCAAGAATTCAAAAATCCATTCGAGGATAAACGGTTAAGTTAGAATAGCAACGATTCCGAGCACCAGAAAGCAGGAAATGAAAACAGTCCCAAAAAAGAAAAGTTGATTTATAGTCGTGACGAAATTTTCCAATGCTACCTGGTCCGACGGTCGTTGGAGATTTACCAGTCTTAGGTTATGAATACGACTATTGCATTGAGTGGCGATGTATCAGAAAAGGACTGGACCACAATGAGATAGGCTGGAATCAGGTTGAAGTACATTCAGAAACTGGACAAGAAAGACGGAATCAAGGGCTTTCAGAAACATACAATGGGACACAAGGTATACTGATGGAATTGGAAGAAATTTCCTACACATGGACGAGTTGGTACCGTGGAGAAGATTCTAATCAACATCATAAGGACTGTGAAAATGTTCTTTCAGTGACCGTTCTGTGATGAGAAGGGATAACATTGTAGCCATTGCTGTCCCAAGTAGGAGAACGTGGAAGGCGATTATTGTGTCACACCTTGGCATCGTGCATACGACCGATCGATGCCTGAAACGAATGATGATGTGCCGATATTGTAGAAAGAATTATCACAACGCTTGTGAACTACAAGAACAAATTGAGCGAAACCAGAAGAAATATTGAAAACTCTCGCTACAGATGGCTGAGCTGGAACGGAGCGAAATGGAGGGCCACTGGCGAAAAATGTGCTGATCGGCAGTCGCATTGATGATAAAGTTGCGGACTCATTTTTCGATTACCAAGAAATGTTCCAAAAAGCAATCACCCTTGCTGTCCCTGTTGGTGACTGTTCCCTCTTTTGAACTCGGATGCAGAAAATTTAACTCTTCGAATTTTCACCGAGGATTTTTCTTTTTTTGATAATTCTCACTTCTGGTATTGATTGTTTTGTTTTGAATGCTGATTTAATGAATCAAATAACTTGCAGGGGGAAGAGCCAAATTACCCTGAAGGCCAAATGTCGTGAATACATATGCACGAATTTGCAATTGTTATCCCAAGTTGTCGATTCATCACGAACCCAAAACATTTTGAGAACAACTAAATGTTCTCAAAAAGTTTTGGCACAGGAACTACCGAACTTAAGGAATTCCATAATACATGAAGTTCTTCAAAAGCATGTGGATAGCTAATTCGGCCTCGTCCCTCGTGTTCGGAAAAAAAGCTTCGAACAACAAGTTTGCAAGATGAGCTACGTAGTAGTAAATCGAACCTGTCATCCACAATTGCGGTGTCCGTAGAAGGAGTAGGATAATGTCTAGCATAACCATTTACACTTTATGACAAATAATGATTTTTTGAGCTCCTGAGCGTTTGAAATTTCAAATCGTCTATAATGCTGATATTAGTGTGAGGAGGCAACCTATTAGGCAAAGAACAAGGAAAAGAGCACAAAAGCGAACCGTAGCTGCCGAATACCAGCTACGGCTCACTTTTGTGCTCCTTTCCCTGTTCTTTGCCTAATAGGTTGCCTCCTAAGTTGCAAGTTGTGGTCTCTATGGGTACACCCTGCTGAGAGATTCATAATTTGTAAAGAGCGTGTAGTAAATGTCACGTGGGAAGGCAAGCCGAGGTCCTCTGGCACCGTAGTCATTCATTCGTTGTCGTTCATGCTGCCCTTGAAGACTCTTTCCATGCCGTGCCGTCTCAGATCCTTCTTCCTGTATTCGTCTGCCCTAGGGTCTGTACTCGGTATATTCCTTTTCATTAATATCACTTAATCAATGACCAATCATTGATGCATTCGTGGACGTGCGACCTGCCGCATGCATGAAGGGAACGTAGACACTTTTGGTTGAGAAATCCTGCACAGAGCAGGACCATTTTGTAGCGCTGTGGAGGTAGTGACATCTCTTAACCGGCCACTGTAAAGATCGTCCTCAAAACCGTGCGTTGAAGACGATTCAGTTGTACCGGGAGACTGCGAAGTTTCTGATTCAACCCCTATAGGGACCATTAGCATAAACCCGAGTAGCCTAGTCTGTGAGCTAGTGAGCATAGCGCAGACCTCCGTATAGATCACGTCAGAGCAGCTTGCTCCTCACCGAGTCACGGGAACTCAAGCATGGCGTGGCGACAGCGCGACATGCTTTAACATTGGGATAATGCATATTTCCAGTTTGCTCACATTAGACTGGCTTTCTTGTGGCCCTTCAAAAGTTGAGTGTGGTTCCATACCGAAGAATGTTACCTTCCTACTGTTAGCCGTTTACATTCGCTAAGAATTCAGGAGTTTCTACATGAAAATTTAATCTTCTGTTTCCACGGGAAAGGATGAGAGGATTGTGTACCGTACCCTGTGATCTGCTATAACGATTTAAGACGAAATTATGCCTTTTTCATTAGCAGACTAGCAGACTAATAGTCAGCCTTCTGTCTGATTGGACGTAATTATGTGTTGAACAACATACGCATGTATTTTACTGTTGTTGTGTTTGAAGAAAAAGCAAATGAGCTCACTTACTGCCACCCTAGTAGAAGAAATTACTCATGTCCAGTTAAGCTGGTTTCCCTACAGTAGGCCAGTACTGTTACCATTCACGGCAAGAAAAGTATCATAAACGGGGTAGACAGCAATTTTTCTCTCTTAAACGCTAGAAAAGCCAAATTTAGATTCAGTGTATCGTTTTGGCTATCAGAAAGGACCAAAAAATCGGACCTAATCACTGGTTCCGATTTTCTGGAACTCAAGACCTTTTTTTTCGAATGTCATGCTTCACGTTCTCAACTCATTATTCATCCGAGCCAAATTCGGCCACGGATTTCCCAAGCTTTCCTTCTTTCATTAGCGTGTGTCATGAAACAATGACATATACAAAACACGTGTTTTTATTTAGGATGCACCCGAACATCCTCCCAATTCCTTATCAAGCTTTCTACATCATTATACCGACTATAAGTCTAATTGGAAACTCGGCGATTGTGTACGTAACAGTACGTTCTAGGTACGCTATCGTTCAAATGCTTACCCACTTTTTGTGACAACTGCTCTTTTCTAAAAAAGTTGGAAATTGCTGATTTTACCAAGGAGAATATACAGTTCTTATCGGTGAAATCACTATTCGCCAAGTTTTTCACATGGTATTTGTGATTTTCGTATTTCAAGATCACTGCGAAGTCCTTGCAACATATTCATAGGGTCCATGTCCATGGCCGAAGTTCTGCACATGCTCGGACACTATGTTATGGTTGTATCCCATAATATGTGAGTTTGGGTCATTTGTTAATTATTGTAAATGCACTTAAGGCCTTTCGTAGAAAGCCTTATCACTCACAGAGATGAAGCAGATCTCAGTTAGCCCTAATAAGGGTTAAAAATTTGTGAACTTGTCTTGAGACCATTATAGTATCCGGTATCAGGCAAGTAGATATCATCATTTTATAATAGTAAATCACCCTCTTTAGAATTGACGACCATTTGATGAGAGAGGACATATGTCTGTATTGGCAACTGCTTCCAATATTAGCCCTGTTCTCATCCTCTATGTTCCTCGTCAATATCGCCATCGATCGATTGATGTCTACGAGGAATTTCTAGTAAGAAACTTGAATTTCACTAAATTCTTGTCCATAGAGGGAATGCAGAGGAACGATTCCGAAAATGAATGATAGCAAAAAGTTCACGGTTGGGAGCTACAGATCGCTAGATGAGCGATTTCGGGAACCGAAATGCGGCACTACGCTTCAGTCAACTTCCTGAATAATGTCATGCCTTCGGTATAAATTGCAATCTGATTTATGGAACTTTAAATTCCTTAATATCGAGCGACCGCTAACATTCGATTACTGTTGAGCGCTTTTACTGCTCAACTCAGAATCTCAGAATTTTAATGGGTCTGCAAATTTTCCACTTTTACGTTGCACTTGCTATCGGTAGCTCCAGAAGATACTCCTGGTTTTTACAGTAATTCTTTTTTTATAATCCTATAATTGATAAGATGCCAATCTATTTTTTCCTTACGCTCCAAATGACCTCAAGCGCAAGAAACTTGCAAACGCCTCCTATCGCCCTTGGTTTGTGTATGTACGCACAACTGGCATTTTATAATAAAAGGCTCATATTGGAATGATTTCAGCAACTCGTTCATCGTAACTAACTATGCTTTCTACATTTTCGTTCATA